AGTTTGGACAAGAAAAGGATGTCTTTGCTCCTCGGTTTAGCAATAACATCATTAGCACTTTCCAGAATTTATATCGTTGCCCTGGGGATGATAAGGTATGGATTCTTCTACATTTCACTCTTTCCCCAATAAACAATTTATTAATGTTCAATTTATGTTAAAAATATAATGTTTACAAAACTTTTATGCTTTTTTTTTTACTTGACAATGTTCCTGAGTAATAGATAATACTGTTTGTGAGTAGGGAAGAAAATACTGCACAGACCCTCACTGTATTCCCTTTTGGGGTAAACAGTTATGCAGAATACTGAAAAAGAGCAGGAAATATTAACCCCCCCACAAAACCCCAAAAACAACAACCCCCCCATGAGATTAAAAAAAAGAAAAGTAGATGTAGCTAAACCATTCACTATGTTTGTCAATATGTTCTGCCCTGCTGTACTTTGTCATGTTTCATATATTGCTTTTCATTTTTTTTAAATTTCTCATTTCTCTCTTAAGAACATCAATTTATTATAGTCATGACTTTCTTCACCTTTCTTTTACTATATAACATCATCCAACATATATTAATTTTACAATTTCAGTCTCATTAATTCTTTCTGTATGACCAAACCATCTCAATGTATTTTCATAATGGTCACTGCCTTTTGTATTCAGTCCATATTAATTCACTACTCATTGAATGATAATCTTTTTATGGTTATACCACATACCCTTCCTAAGGAATCTGGTCCCATTATATTCAGCTTTTATGTGTTCCTTGACATATTCAATTCTCAATCCAATATAATAAAGTACTTTTGGCATAAACACATTCTTTAACCCAGTCATTTTTATTTGTTTTGGAAAGAATCAATTTTTTTGTAGCAGTTCAGATACTACTTGCTATCTTTCTACCGTCATTTGTATGTTTTAAATTTTTTCCATTTTCACTCTTTTCAAAGGACACACACATTTATCTACTATTAACTTGCAGTATTCTGTTTTCCTTGAGAAATACAACTTCCTTGCTTTTCAGTAATTAATTTTCAGGTTGGTACTTCATACAGGCAAATGTCTGTTTATTTTGGAAAAATTAAGATTATATCAATCAACATTTTCCAATATTTTTAGTACTATTTTTGATGTGTAGAACAAATGAAAGGAACATAATTTTATTGGGTAGTGAATTATAGAAGGAAAAGAATGTAATTGTTTATTGGTACTTGATTATCATTTCAACATATAGCATGTCAGCCATATTTTTGAACCCCATAATGAAATCAAAAGCATAGACAGACTCTGGCTCTAGCAGACGTAATGCTGATTTTAATCTGCACAGGTATTGTATAATAAACATTGCATAATATATTCATAGCAAGGTTATACAATAATAATATTCTTCTAGAATATATATAAAATTAAGCATAACAGTGCCTATACATTATGTATATAAATGAGCTAAGCTCTATAAAATTGAGAAAAGGAGTTTCTAAAGTTCTTAGGGCAGTGGTGGCGAACCTATGGCACGGGTGCCAGAGGTGGCACTCGGAGCCCTCTCTGTGGGCACACATGCCATTGCCCCAGCCTTGCCTCCGCCCGTGACCCCCTCTTCACCAGCAGCTTTCCTGGAGGAGAGTTGCCCCGAGTGTGGCCCACGCGGAGCAGCGCAGCCAAGGACATGGCAGCCAGGCAGCGTAGACAAGACTCTGCCCTCACGCCCCAACACACACATTTGATGCTGCAGGGCGTGGGCAGAGGGCGTGGCCGCCATGGCGCTGCTGGACTGCCTGGGCGATCTGTGATGGGCCCTGGAGGTGGTGAGTAGCCCTGCAGGCAGGGGGCCAGTTTTTGGGCACTCGGTCTCTAAAATGTTCGCCATCACTGTCTTAGGGATTTAAAATAACAGTTTAAATAGAATATTAAACTAAAGAGATTTACATTGGATGGAATCTAGGAACCCATAAACTAAATTCACTCAGGCAGTAGAATTTCTTTTCTTCCCTAACCCCCAACTATTTTAATAGGTGTACAAGTAGCTGCAGAGGAAGGAGACATTAACCTTTCATTTTCAATAATAGAATTCTTTTCTGTTCTTACTTTTTAAGAATTTGTGGCCACTGCTAGAAGATTCAGAATCTGAATCACTAGATATACTAGATTCAAAATAGAATCACTAGAATCATTCAGTGGATTTGTAGGAATGAAATGAGAAAATCTAATCCAAATTGAACATATGTTAATTGTGTCACATAGACCAGGGGTCCTCAACCCCCAGGCCGCGGCCCACTATTAGGCTGTGGCCTGTTTGGATCTGGGCCGTGTGAGTGGCTGGCTGGAGCACACGCAGAGCTCTACTTTTGTGAGTGGGGGCCAGTTCCTCTCCCCCCCGCCAGGCCGCCAAGCTGTAAAGGTTGGGGACCGCTGACATAGACTTATTTTTTATTCTCTAAAACTGGAGAAGTTTCATGATTTCCAGTCCTAATATAAAAAGGGCACTAAAATCCACAACACATTCCTGACCCTTGTAACCATGATAAGGAATATTAAACATAGTCTCAGTAGTTTTATTTTAAAAGCTGTTTAACTTGGAATAGGGATTTGATAATGTAAAGTCTAAAATGTCATCTCTTTCTTTTCCTAGAGTAAAATTGTTAGAGTGCTCAATTTGTGGCAGAAGAATAATGTGTTCAAAAGTGAAATTATTCAGCCTCTATTGGATATGGCAGCAGGAATTCCTCCTCCAGTTGTTACTCCTGTTTTGCCAGGGACAACTGCTACTTTGAGTAATAATACACCAGGTAACAAGAACCCAACATTGTCCTTTTGTTTTACGTCCATGGCAACTTTCCCTTTGTTACATCTTTTAAGATTTAAATTTGCAAGAGTAATTGATTTTTGTTGCATTACTTTTTTCAGTTACATTCTTTCCTGATATGTATATATTTTTCCTTAAAATGTATTCTTTCCTGATATGAATAATAAACATATACTCAGATTTCTGGGTTTCTTTGGGCAGGGACTTACTGTATTTTTTATATTTTATAGCTTTTTTATATTTTATTTCTGATCTTTTGAAATATATTAGGTGCACCATAACCATGAGAAGGAAATGAAAAAAATATTTTTTTCTACAAGGATTTGAATGAACTGAATAATTAAATTGGTCAATATTTGCTTGTGAAATTTCTATTGGCAGAAAAATAGACTATTGTTCAATTTCAGCCAAAAGAGTCGAGAGTTAAGACATATACGTACATGTCTAATGAAGATGATTAAATTCAACATCATTTTCAAGTTAAAAGTGCCATTGTTAAGAACTTTATTTTTCCAGGAAAATAACATATTTGCACATTAGCCATTAGGGGTCAGCATATTCTACAACATGAAAGACGCAAATTTAAATGACAGGCTTATGCTCTCTAAATAATACTATAGCTTTATATATATAAAATATCTTATAACAATATGATGATAATGTGTTATAAATTGTTGATATCAAGCCCATATTTTGAAACCAGAGCACATACTATCATGCAATATGTTGAGACTCACCAAATTGAAGAAGGGTTTAACAATGATTGGGCTGCACTCATAGGAAACCACTTTATGTTCATTGAGCCGTGGTAGCTTAGTGGTTAGAAAGCAGTATTGCAGGATACTTTTACTGACTGCCAGTAATTCAGCAGTTCGAGTCTCACCTGCTCAATGTTGACTCAGTCTTCCATACTTCTGAGGTCGGTAAAATGAGGACCCAGATTGTTAGGGGCAATATGTTGACTTTGTAAACTGCTTAAAGGGGGCTGTAAAGCATGATGAAACGGTATATAAGTCTAAATGCTATTGCTATTTCTTCAGAATAAGTCAAGGCACTGCTTTTAGATCACCTTTTCCTTATATTGGACAACATTGAATACCAAATCTTGATGATTACCCTCCTCAAACTCATTAAACAAATTCCACCCACTTTTGTTATATGGAACTTAGCCTTGGCTTGGAAGATAGGAGCTCTCAGTTAGAAGATCTATACCTATTCCATAAAAACAAGATGTTTCTAGGCAGATATACATTTTGAACTCTTAAGTTATTCAAAATTCCAACAAGCACAGGAGAGAATATTCTTGCCAACTGACAGCACATGGCTCAAACAAGATGTACACAGGGCTCTGAAGGTCCGCTTCAAACTCAAACTGAAGAGGTAAATAGTTTGTTTTCTATAAATAGAGAATCAGAGAAAATATTTTTCTGTTCCAAAATTGACACATGACTTGGATAATGCTTTATCCTATTGTTCACAGCAAACACAGAATCATGCTTCACAGCATTCTGTGTAAAAAATGACTATGTTGGCAATCTTTAATAGTAGGAGTACCAATAATAGACATTTGTAAGATGAATCTGGGATAAAGCTATCTACCTTAAAAATATTATGAAACAGGTAAAGTTGCCTTTCAGAAGTGGGCTTTGATCTCCTTTGGGTCATGTAGAGTGCTGATCCACCCTGGGAATACTGCTATATTTTATTGCTTTTCTGTTCACTGTTACCTCCTGCAACCAAGAAGAGTAGGTGGACTTACTGTGACGTACTGTCTGGTCACCAAAAGTAAGACTTGATAAGCTCACTGAATTTAGGAAGGGAAGTAGTTTGAACTAGCATCTTACTCACCCAAAGTTGAGATACAAGGTACTTTACTGCACTAAATGTTATACACTTTTTTTTCTGTTCTCATGTGTCTTGCTAATGGGGAGTTTGTGGGTTACAGTGGTATTCATATTAATGCATTGAATAATTGATAAAGGAGGAGCTGAATTGGACTCAGATAAAGAATAGATGGGAGACTTTTATTTATATCACAACTTATTCAAGAGTTTCTGATGCTTACAGAGCACTCCTGCTGTTTTTCCCTAAAAAATCCTGTGAAGTAGGTTGGGTTGAGACAGAATGATTCTTCCAAAGTCACCCAGTTATTTTCTATGGCTAAGAATGGATTAATTAATGTGATTAATCTCTTGCTATTTACTACTTCTTTCCAACAGTATCTAAAGATAACCGCTTGTCTTCTTTTCAGGAACTCCAGTGACTCCTGCTACTCCAGCCAATGTAATCCAAAGTTTACCTGATCCATGGGTATCTCAGATAACTAATACAGATACGCTTGCTGCTGTAGCACAGATCCTTCAAAGTCCACAAGGACAACAGGTAGTAAGTCCATTTTGGTCTTTTATCCACCTAGAAATACATAATTCTGCTTCTCTGCTTCATATAATTTAAATTGCTATTGAAAAGTTAAAAACTAATTTCAATTTGTTTTGCATTTTTAAAATGTTTGCAATTTCTGTTTTTAAAGCAAATAACATGAATATCAATGAGTAATAAATACTGAATATGAACACTTGTCCCAATGCCTTTTATGCCAGAATTTTAATTTATTGAAGATAACATTGAAAATATGAAAAATAATGCAAACTAATATAAGAATAAAGAGAAAAAAATAGAAAAGGAAGAAAAGGAAAAAAGAAAGAAAAATAGAAAGGAAAGGGAAATATATAAATAAGTAACTTCCCCATCATCACAAGTATAAACAATTTTAGTAATTTATCACCTCTTAAAATACAACAAATGCCAGCTTATCTTTTAACTGTAAACAAAATCTTAAAACCTCTTTATTCAGTCCTAGTCAGCAAAAGGCCATTAAAGGGTTAGTAGAGATAATAATGTATCTGTTTTAACCCCAATCAAATAAACCAACTTTATATTGCTTCCCTGTAACTTTAACAACCTTGATTTTTAATCCCTTCAAATAGTGTTTTAGAACTTGATTTCTTTTCATTTTTTCTGCATCCCTTCTCCGAAATTCCTTCAAACTTAATAATTCTCTCTTATAAATCTAGTGCAGAAAAGTTATTTCAATCATTATCTTCTTTGTTATTTTTATATCTTTTTTAAATTATGAATACTTCAATGGGTTTCATTTCTATATATGTTTTATCATCTTTTTCCATATTCTTATAGGTTGTCATTTTAAAATCCACATTCAAATCAATTTCAGTCTTGCCAGTAGAGCTTGTTCCTCTCTGTAAAATGTATACACCATCTTTCTATGATAACAAGACATTCTTAAAATTCACTTCTGAGTCCATTGTTCACAAATATCCTTGAAAATATCCAGTGTTAAAATATTTTGCTCCATTCTGAATTAACAAGTTGACTTCAGGTTTTGTTGTCCTTTAATTGTAACTTTTAGTTTCTTCTAGCCTCCTCTCCAGTGTTCAGCTTTCAAACTCCCATTTTTTTCATGTTTTTTCCCTAAGGAATCCAAACAACAACAATTTCCCTTGGGAAGGATTCTTATAATTAATTACAAAATCTAATTTCAAATCTATCTGGACCTTTAGTCTGTTTTTAACTTTCCAAAATCAGTGCTCTAAACACTTTTTTGCTGTTAATTCTAAAAAGTATTTTTTTTTCTTAATCATTAAACTTGTACTTGAAACTAATTTTGTTAAGGAGAAGAAGATTCATCCAGTGAATGCAGTAAAGATTTGGCCATTCTGGAAAAAATATATATTTAAAAATCAGTAAAAAAAATAATTCCAAAAGCAATTAAGAAATGAGATTCAGCTAAGTATTATGTCCATATTATAGGCTATATTCAACTGTGAGCTTAGATGGAATCCCTTTACTCCAAGCTACTAGCATAAACTGACCACTAAAATCTCAGTTTTATATATGTGTGTGTGTGTACTGTATATATATATACTGTGTATATATATATACTGTGTATATATATATATATATATATATATATATATATATATATATATATATATATATATATATATATATATATATATATATATATATATATANACGGAAAGGCAGCAGAAGTAAGGATAGAATGATAGCTAAAGGGGTTAATGAGGATGTTACAATGATTGGTTACCACGGCCCTGTCACGAGATCTAGGGCCCGGATGCAGGCATCGGTTTATTTATAACTGCTTTTCCCATTGATTGACTTTGTGCCCTGAGGATGTCGGAAGGATCCGACGAAAGCTTGGCCCCTATGATTGTATGCTCCCAGCCGATCAAACGTTGTATCCGTCCTGTTCGGCTTCTCCTTACTTCTTTTACTTCTTTTAATCCCAAGACTGTGAGTTGCTGCAGCCGCTTACCGGGACCACGATTGCATCCTAGGGAGACATCTGATACCACCGTAAGATTCACCCATTTGGCCAACGTACAAGAGGGGAAGGATCGCGAACAGCGCCGGATAGGTGCTGTCACGTGCCCCCAACAAACAACCCGACAAAAAGGGTGTGAAAGTAAGACTGCTGAGTTACGATCCGAACCGAGCCCCATGGAGGGGGAGAATGAGGTTCTTATGGTAGCTACCTCGACACAACATGTACAAGGGGAGGATCGTAAGCATCCCTCTCTGGGGGTTAGAAACGTTGAAGGAGCTGAAAACAATAACAAGACTGCGGATTTACGACCCAGGCCTATGGGTGAGCTGTTGTCCACTCCCGTAGGGCAATACAACGAAATGAAAGGGGTGAAAATATTATTGTTAAATCCATCCCCGGACAATGCCCAGTGAAGGAGGAGGAGAAAAAACACTGGGACAAGGAAATACGGAGGTGTTCACCCTTGAAGGCAGCTGGCATGGCTGAGTTCAGGCTCCGGGATGCACGCCCCAACCACAGCTACAATTTGAGAGCTATGAAAAAGGGGAAGATAGAGCACACTTGTAACTGTGTTAATAATAGATCCTGGGGAGCTGGGTTGACAGTAGAGCCGAACGATGTAAGTGATGGCAGGATGCCTCCGTCTTCCCCCATTGCAGGGTTAGATAGTAATGGCAGGATTGACACCCATGAGAAAGTAAGCAGAAGAAGTAAGGAGAAGCCGGATGATGTAAGTGAGGGCAGGATGCCTCCGACTTCTCTCGCTGCAGGGTTAGATAGTAATGGCAGGATTGACACCCATGAGAAAGTAAGTAAAAGAAGTAAGGAGAAGCCGAACAGGACGGATACAACGTTTGATCGGCTGGGACCAATTACTAGATCCAGGAGTCGCGCACAGGCATTGGCTGGTGTATAAAAGTATTTTCTCCCATTGAGTCATTTGTACCCTGATGATGTTGGTAGATTCCAACGAAAGCTAGGTCTGTTATAGCATTTTAAAATTTTTAATGTTTTATTAAAACTTTTAATGATTTTAACTTTCCCTGGTGTTCACTGTTATTGTTTTACTATGGATATGCCCAGGGATAGATAGATAGATAGATAGATAGATAGATAGATAGATAGATAGATAGATAGATAGATAGATAGATAGATAGATAGATAGATAGATAGATAGATAGATAGATAGATATTAGATTAGATTAGATTAGATTAGATTAGATTAGATTAGATTAGATTAGATTAGATTAGATTAGATTAGATTAGATAGAACTAGCCATGATCCAACATGTGGCCGCTGATTTCTACTGCAAATGATATCCCTGCTTTTTGCCCTGTCCACACCAGTTTCTTTTGTAACTGCATTGAAGATTGCTTATATTTTACAAAATGTTTAAAAATTTAAAATTAGGAATTATGTGCTTGAAATTGAAGTTTTGATTTGGGATATTTTGTCCTAACTTTCAAAGCAGTGCTAGAATTTATGCTTAATTTCAGATTTTATTTATAGCAAAACTATCTTCTTCCCAACTCCATTTCAGCTTCAGCAGTTAATACAGACATTGCAGATGCAACAACAAAAACCACAACCATCATTGCTTCAAGCACTGGATGCTGGTCTCGTCGTTCAGCTACAGGCTCTCACTGCTCAACTTACGGCTGCTGCTGCTGCCGCCAATACACTCAATCCACTAGAACAGAGTGTCTCTTTTAACAAGGTAGTTATTCATAAGATTACAGTTATACTAAATCCTGCCCAGTGTAGAACCTTTTGTTTGATTCATTTCAGAGATTTTCTCTCTAGAGTACTAGATGGGAAGTACAGTGGGATTTCATTCACTGAATGAGCCTGAGACCCTTAGTCATACTCCATTTCCCTTTCTGTGGTAATTTACCTATGTACCTAACAAAAATCAACTTGGTTATGAAGGAAAAAGGTTCATTTCTAATCTCAGATTGAAAACTTGCTGACTAGTAGTATTGCTGAGTTCTTATCTACAGCAGTTTCCATAAGAAGATAAAAGATGTTCTAATCATGGAGTGGTAACATTATGAAATTTTCTATTTTATTTATTTATCTTTTTTATTTTTTATTTTGTACTGTTTTATGTTTTGTTTGTTTTATCTTTTTTTTCTTTTAAGTCTTAGCTTAATATGCTGTATGCCAGGGGTCTCTAAATCCTGGGCTGTAGCCCACTACCGGGCCGTCGCCTATTCAGATTTGGGCCGCGCGAGTGGCTGGCCGGCATGCACGTGCACAGCTCAACTTGCAGAAGCAGCGGGCTGGTGGGCACACACTGTTCTCACCGGCCTGCCACTCGCATGGCCCAGTTCCCCTTTCCCACCCCAGCCAAGCTACCAAGCTGCAAAGGTTGTGAACTGCTGCTGTATATGACTGATACAAGAACCAGTTTGGTGTTGTGGTTAAAGCACTAGGCTAGAAACCAGGAAACTGAGTTCTAGTTCCACCTTAGGCACAAAGTCACTTGGGTGAACTTAGGTCAAGCATTCTCTCGCTCAGCCCTAGGAAGGAGGCAGTGGCAAGCCACTCCAAAATCTTGCCAAGAAAACTGCAGGTACTAGCCTAGGCAGTTCCCAGAAATAAATAAATAAAAAAACCTGACTCAAAGGGACAAAAATTAAAGAGACTGATACACTGTTTTTGTTGTATTTGTCAATGCTTCTGTATTATCTTGACCATAACTAAATGAATACAATAATAGTAGTAATAACTATACTTCTATTTATGTAGTACCTGATATGAATTTTCTCTGTCACAGTCAGTTGACCAATATTACCGTGATTTTTTTTTTGTCCTTTTTGCAATTCTTGGTTTTCTATTGGGCACTAAACTTGCAGTTCTACGTGCTTCATGGTTGTCTTTTTATCAAAACCTATCTTAGAATTCTTAATTTTAGTAACGCAAGTCATGTCTTTGGAGTACATATAGATAATGTATATCAATTAATGTGATCCCAATTAAATATTTTGCATTTTATATTTATGCATTTGTTTTACATCTATGGTAATACAGTATATATAAGCGAGATGATGTTTTAGAAAGAATATTTTGTACATATATTGGTATCCGGGTGTTATAGTTTATTTATTACACTTAACATGTATATATCTAAAACATTAAAAATATATCTAATAGGAATCTTTGATTTCAAATAATGCTTTTCTTGTTTAATGCATAATTTGTTTGCTCCTAGAAGCTGATAGATAGATTTGGAGATTTTGGAGAAGAAACTGATTTGAATGAAGAGCCCAAAAAGGAAACTCCAACTTCTCAATTGTAAGTCTTAATTTGTGATTGGAAACACTTTTTTATATTTTAATTTGAATTTATTTTCAAAGTAAATCTGCAGTTAAGTCCAACTTCTAATTGCTTACCCAAATCCAGGGGCTTTTCGCATATGCAAAATGGTTTTGGAGTATTTGTGACGTTAACTGATGATGGAGAAAAGTTATGGAAATCATTTTTTTTAAAAATTGCTTAGTTTTTTTTTTAAATTCAGGCAGATCAGATTTCCCCTACTTAAGATTTCCAGTACATTTTAATCTTACTAAAATATTCTTAAGTTGTTGTCTTACACTGAGAAAGGGAGAAGAAGGGAGAGAGATTGAAGATAAACCATAATTTCTTAAATCAACAGTTGAGTTCATTCAAGATATTAAGCTATAAGCTGTTGTTTAAAAATCACAGTGTGTTGGGTTCCCTCTACCACATAAAGTGCAATATGATCTACTACAATGTTTGAATCCCATTAAAACTCCCATTAGATCAACTTTTGTCTTCTTGTCTCTTCCTATTCTCATCATACTTCAAGACAACATCAAATTCTGGTTCTACAAAGTTCTGTTGTATTCTTTAATGAATTCTAAATATATTTATACAGTTACTGTAAAAACAATAGGGTAACTACTAAATTATGTCTTTTAGGCCGCTTGTATCTGAATCCGTGAACAATTCACTTTTTCATCAGCTAGCTGAACAACTACAGCAACAAAACTTAGAACATCTTCGTCAGCAGCTTCTAGATCAGCAGCCACCAAAGGTATACTATTTTTTTTATTTTGGGAAATATTGCATTTTTTAAATTTCTAAACTAACCGCATGGCTTTAGGTTTCTAAATTTTTGAAACGACATGTTGTTACTTTAGAATTTTTTTTAAAAAGTATATTTGTTTTTCCATCTTGAATTCCCCTCAGCATTATAGCTTCCTTTTCCTTTTTCTCCCCCCTTTTTTTGTTCAGTATAACACTTGCTTATACTCACTTGTTTATATTTGCACTTTAACTTCTAATCCTAACAATCTATTTGAACTTAGGATCTCTGTAGTTCCAGGACTGTGATTTGAAATAAAGGACTGAATTTTGCACACTTGTTTGCTTGCTTGTTGATATTATCCAAAATTCCAAACATATTCCATAATACAAATTATATATTAGTTATTGAAAGCCAGGGAGAGAGAGAGGTAGGTACATAGATAGGTAGACAGAGAGAGACAGGCATGTATTACAGAGCTTGAGGCTAAAAAAATAAACATTCTTCACTGCAGGTCAGCCCTGAGGAAACTCAAGAAGAAAATTTTGGTTCTGAGCATTCAGCATCACCTTCGCAAGACAGCAGTCACCAACAGTTTTTAGAAGTGGAAACAAAGCTTGACAATTCAATGGATGTTCAACAACAGGTAAATTTTAGTATTTCTATTTAAATTATGAATTCAGTGGATCTCAAAATTGTAAAATAAACACTATCCTATCTATAATCTCATGGATGGCTATATACTGGGAATGTAAATATTAACATTAGTTTTGATGTCATAATATAATTTGTTGGAGAGCAGGATACTCTGTCCATGAGGACAATAAGGGTGCATCGAGATACATTGAGTAAGATTTTCCTAGATATAAACTGATATATTCAGGAATATATGAAAAAAAAATCTCCATAAACAAATATAGATAAGAATGAATATATTTTCCAATATGTTGGCATCTCACTTGCTCCCTATTTAGGACATGGATATAGATGAAGCCCAGGAGATTGTAGAACAAGAAGTCTTTGAGCAAGAAGAAAAGAAGCCAGCAGTTCTT